ATTTAAAAGTTAAAATTATTTTTGCGCTTTGTTTTATTAAATAAGAAAATACTAAGATATTATTTTAAAAAGAAATTGTTAAAGAACAACTATAAAATTATTAGATATAGTATAAGATTTTGTTTCTTTATGTAACAATCTATATGGTACATTATTTTTTGTAAAATGATTATTATAATAACGTTGATTAATAGTCATATGTTAAAATATTTTAATTTTGTAACATGATATGTAAAATGATTATTATTAAATCATTTATTTTGAAAAAATATATTTTATATATCACTTCCTATTCTGTAAGATGTAAAATCCGATTTTAAAAAAATATATATATCAAATATTTGATATGAAATCAGATATCATATCTCAGATGAAATTATCATTAGATGAAATTATCATGGCTTTTTAGAATCTGGAAGACATCTCTCAGATATCCGAGTGATATCTGAATAGTTTTTCGTCAATCAGATATTGTGATATTTAAATATCTTCCAGATATCTCTATGATATTGTTTGCTGTGTGGTACTGTTATTATTCAGAGAATATTATCATTCCACGTATCGTTCTATTATCAAAAACCGATTATTTTTATCATCTTTCATAACCTTCAAGATAATTATCTATTTTATCCACAGATTTCTATATGTATATTATACTAGACCGCTAACTGAAACGTTGGCAGTGAGGCCGCGTCGCCATCTTTAGTGTGGGCAAAAGTGCATACACAAGGTGTCACATTTCGAAATGTAGAAATTTTAACCCTGTACCATTTATGTTAAGTATAGAAGTCCGTAGTTTCTAGACACCGTGTAGACGAATTTCTTGCCCACAGTAAAGATGGCTGCCGCTAAAAAATACAGAAAGTGTAAAATGAGCCAGCTTCACGTCCGCCATACAAATTTACTAGAAGTTAGCGGTCTAGTATAATATATAGAAGTCAGTGATTTTATCTAACATAGTAAGTCGAAAATACTGTAACAAGAACATTATCTTGCACGTGTCGTTCCGTTATCAAGAATAATTTATTTCTAATAGCCATCATTTTATGAAAAATTGTATTCTTGTGAAACGTAATGCGAGATTTCTATTTTTAATAGTAAAGTAAGTATATCGTAATAAAAGTACAACTTCAAATGTTACCGTTATATTTTCAAGTTGCATTTGTTTTAAAAATAATGAATCAACATGTTACATTTTTAAGTTATATGTAGATTATCGAGGAAAAGTTATAGCGAGAAAGCTATAGCAACAAAGAAGCATTTAAATTTTGCTGCAAAAATTATACATTTTGTAAAAAAATTAATTTGTCCTGTTAGAAGTAATTGTGAATACATTCTGCTACACAGAGTAATAAAAGTTCCCAATAGTTTTCAAAAGTTCTGTTACATTCTTCGAACTATGTTGTAAATTTCTGTTTCTGCAATGTTTCTGTAACATTTTACTGTAACGTTATTACAATGTATTGGAGCTTTCGTGCTTATGATAATTTATCATAAAAGATCAAAATACTATTCGCTTCTCTGTATCTTTTTTTCGCATGAAATAAGATATAACAAGACATAGAATTTGTTAAAAAGAAATTATTAATATTAACGCGAGACAACTGACGGCCCGCAAACCGGATCCCGTTTGTAACGTCAAATTTGACTCACAAAACAAATGAAAAATTCAAAAAAACTCCCTAAAAAGGGATTTGACTTTACCTCGACGTGATTTCCTAGTTAAGACGGAGAAAACGAAAGAAAGCTCTACATTTAGCTGCTGCTAACGACCCGCGGTATTACTTCATTTGACCAAAATATCTAATTGCGTTTTCCTGGTATAGTTTACGTATTTATCTACTCTTTTAACTGTTGTACTCATAAATACAAAAATATTGTTATTCAGTTATTGCGATCTTAATGTAGAAGTTTATTTTTAATTAATAATTTGTAATTTTTAAATACATTTTATGTGTTTTATAATATATCTATCAAATATATATTTTTTAAAGTAAAAATGTATTGATATATGTAAAACATAGTTTATAACAGTGATATACATATTTGGAATATATTTGGAAATACTTAACAATAGCTATCATATGCATATACATATATTACTAATGTTGATTATCGACAATACATTAAACCTCAAATGCATGTATACATGCGATATTTATACAGTTTACTCAATAGATTATTAGAATACAAATGTACTTCATTACTCTCATTCGTATTAGGAAATCTATATCAAGTATCTTGTAAGACGATTTATTTCTATTGATAACAATTATTGACAACATTTAGTATCAATCTTTTGTATAAAGAAGTCTTATTCACTGAATTACATAGGTACATCAATTCCACACACAGAGTGCAGTGAACCTCACATGATTCTCATTGTCGCTAGAAAATTTGACAAATAAATCATTTTGCATGCCTGCCAAGTTTTGCATCGGACTTACTGCGTCTTATGCGCTCATTCATTCAGACATTTTTATTAATTGCACACTATATTGCGCATTTTACATGACTTTTCTTCTCAGTTTGATCCAATCTGTTAACACTTTTTGATTGGTCATTAACGAATTAGCCGCTCTGTCTATTAATATTTTCTCCATCAGTACAATGATATAATCAAATTACTAAATAATGAGATTAAAATTATATAATGATTAAGAAAAAATATGAGCAATAACTTCATCAGTGTGCTGTATACGAAATTAATTACAAATCGCTTTTTATTAATAAAAATGACAAGGAAGATTCGTCTGAACATATTATGACGAGGTCGTATTGACTGAACGGCTCTTTCGTGAAACGTATCTTTTCGAGGCAAAATGATACATCAGCGATATAATCATGATAAGGCGAGCAAGAAGCGATTATTGCGAGTATTTAAGCGCGGGTCGTTCGTTATACCGACAGACCTCGAGCAGACATCCTACAGCAATACGGCGCGGTTCTGAGTGAAAAATAAGCCAAAATGTCGGCATACAAGTATACAACCGGCCTAGTTGTTCTGGTCATCGCTCTGTTGACCATCAACACTGTATCTGCTGGTGAAGATGTTGCTTCCTACGCTGACGATTCACACCATCTGAGAGTCGGCTCCAGGATGCCCGGCGACAGACTCGCCCTCAAAGAGAACGTCAGCAAGAGCTCTGGCTGGTTAAGGGTGCAGGTTATTGAGAAGACCTTCTCTGTCCCGGTGTGGGAACGTATCACTATGGTTGAAGCATTGGACCAGAAAACGAATGGAAAAGGCGCGTACGCCAGTATTCTGAACGGTGGACCTGGACACAACAACGTCACCATGAAGTTCAAGAGTCAGAGAGGTCACAGTATTAACTTCGTCCTTCAGCTTTATTCACGTTAATTGTCCAGTGGAAGCAGCTACTCTTACAACTGGTACGACGATTCCTGGATGCAACTCAGATGGAGAAGTGACATAATCAACCTTCAAAGTTACATCAACCTAGTGTGAACTGTTTACTATTCAAGAAGAATTACCATTGCTACCAAAAGAAGATATGTCACCGAATCTTCTTGTTACTTTTTGTATATCATCAATAAATCAATTGATGTAATTGTACATATGTTTCTTAAAAATTCTCAAATGCATGTAAACTCGCAATCGTAGAACATAAGTATAAGCTATTAATAATGTGTGCAATGTACAGAAAACTGATAACACTTTACAAAATGCAGTGCTTATTCATGATTTTTTACGTACGAATGAAATAAATTCGCCTTTATCACTTATTTAATTATGTCTTATTCTAAATGTATTCCCTAATTTCCAACTATTATTAGAACGGCTTTCTAATTACTAATTAAATAATAATTTGCTAATTATATTCACGTCATCTTCAACGGGACTTGAATATTGCGATATGAGATAAGAAGAATAAGCGTGAGCGCTGAGGAAGGAAAAAATATCGATGCAGTAATGCAATTAGCGCCGAAGCGAAACGCGACGACGATTCGGAGTTTATGAAGGGCATGCTCATTTCGCCCACTCCAAAGACAACCTGTCGTTCAGATAGGGTAATTTGTTTATTTACTTCCTTTTAGAGTGATCTTCGGCGGTGTGGCCACTCTGCGTCCATATGATGGGTTCACCAAATCATCGAGGAGATACCAAGCATCTCTGGAGTCGTGCTATTAATATTATTCCTACTTTATTCAATAAAATAAAGTAAGCAAGCGAGAAGAGTCTCGAATATGAGTCTGGATAACTCAGTATGAGGAGTCGCCCGCCAAGCGACAGGTTCCAATTCAAATCCTGGTCTGGAGTCTGAACCTAGCTCGTTATTTTTCTCGCCAAAAGTTATTAAGCGACGCGTCTAGTGCCTACCTCCTTGAAGATATATTCCTATTTTACTGTTATTATTCAGAGAATATTATCATTCGACGTGTCGTTCTATTATCAAAAACCGATTATTTTTATCATCTTTCATAATCTTCAAAATAATTGCCTATTTTATCTAACATAGTGAGTCGAAAATACTGTAACAAGAACATTATCTTGTACGTGTCGTTCCGTTATCAAGAATAATTTATTTCTAATAGCCATTATTTTGTGAAAAATTGTATTCTTGTGAAACGTAATGCGAGACTTCTATTTTTAATAGTAAAGTATATCGTAATAAAAGTACAACTTTAAATGTTCCCGTTATATTTTCAAGTTGCATTTGTTTTAAAAATAATGAATCAACATGTTACATTTTTAAGTTATATGTAGATTATCGAGGAAAAGTTATAGCGAGAAAGCTACAGCAACAAAGAAGCATTTAAATTTTGCTGCAAAAATTATACATTTTGTAAAAAAATTAATTTGTCCTGTTAGAAGTAATTGTAAATACATTCTGCTACACAGAGTAATAAAAGTTTCCAGTTGTTTTCAAAAGTTCTGTTACATTGTTCGAACTATGTTGTAAATTTATGTTTCTGCAATGTTTCTATAACATTTCACTGAAACGTTATTGCAATGTATTGGAGCTTCCGTGCTTATGATAATTTATCATAAAAGATCAAAATACTATTCGCTTCTCTGTATCTTCTTTTCGCCCGAAACAAGACATAGGATTTGTTAAAAAGAAATTATTAACATTAACGCGAGACAACTGACGGCCCGCAAACCGGATCCCGTTTGTAACGTCAACTGACTCTTCATTTGACCAAAATATCTAATTGCGTTTTTCTGGTATAGTTTACATACTTATCTACTCTTTTAACTGTTGTACTCATAAATACAAAAATATTGTTATTCAGATATTGCGATCTTTACGTAGAAGTTTATTTTTAATGAATAATTTCTAATTTTTAAATACATTTTATTTGTATAAAATATATCTATCAAATATACAGGGTGTTATGTAATACCCGCATCAACGCTTATTGTGGGATAGAGGGGACTAGACTAAGTCGAAAAGTCCTGTATCACTTTGCAGGTTTTGTAATAGTTAACGAGTTATTAATTATTAAAAATCGCTGTCTTAGGCCGGCCCACTGCCCAATTCAACGTTTAATTAGCCTAAGACAGCGATTTTTAATAATTAATAACTCGTTAACTATTGCAAAACCTGCAAAGTGGTACAGGACTTTTCGACTTACATAGTCTAGTCCACTCTATCCCACAATAAGCGTTGATGCGGGTATTACATAACACCCTGTATATATTTTAAAGTAAAAATGTGTTTATATATGTAAAACATAGTTTATAACAATGATATACTTATTTGGAATATATTTGGAAATACTTAACAATAGCTATCAGATGCATATATATTACTGATGTTGATTATCGAGGATACATTGAATCTCGAATGTATGTATATAAATGAGTGCAATAGTTATGCAGTTTACTCAATAGTATACAGTAATTAGAATACAAATGTACTTCATTACTCTCAATTCTATTACGAAATCCATATCAAATATCTTATGTGACGATTCAGTTTTAATGATAACATTTATCAAACAACATTTAGAAAGATGTTATCTTATGTAGGAGTCTTGTTCTCTGTATTATATCAATTCCAAAGATAGACTAAGACAACTGAGATATGACTGTGGAGGTGTGATAAGATTTGAACGATAAAAATATTGATTCGTTACATTGATAACACCTGTGTCTACTTGATGAATCATACGCAGAATAGAAACGTATGTATACGAGAATAATAATGATTGCAATATCTCTGACGCATCTAATTAAAGATTTAATTAAAATAATTATTAATTACATATTATACAGAGAATGCCTGCAAATTCACGCATATGCTATCATATATTTCTAGTCGTTTTGAATTTAATTTGTGATAATAAATTATTTTACTTTTTGTTAATAAATAAATATATATATAAATATTTTTCCGTCAGTAAATTAATACAAAATTACTCATGACGAGGTATAAAATGTAAAATAATTGAGAAACAAACATGAGCGATAATTTTCATCAGTGCGCTGTACATTACAAATATGCTGCTCACTTTTTATTATTAAAGATGAGAAGGAAGGTTTGCCTCATATGGTGACGAGTTCGTATTGATCGGAATGACTGGACTCGTCACACGTATCTTTCCAGAAGAAGGTGGTACATCACAGCGATACAGGCATGATAAGCCACGATAAGCGATTATTGCGAGTATTTAAGCACCGACCGATCGTTACGCCGACAAATCTCGAGTAGCTTGCAGTGTTACAGCGTGGTTTTCGAGTGCGAAGAAACCCAAAATGTCGGCATACAAGTACGTAATCGGCCTGGCCGTTCTGGTCACCGCTTTGTTGACCATCAGCACCGTACCCGCTAGTGGAAGTATTACTTCCTACGCTGCAGCCAATAAATCACACCATCTGAGAGTCGGCTACAGAATGCCCGGCGACAGACTCGTCCTCAGAGAGAGCGTCATCAAGAACTCTGCCTGGATGAAGGTTCAAATTGTTGAGAAGACCTTCAATGTCTCCAAGTGGGAACGTATCACTATGGTTGAAGCTTTGGACCAGAAAACGAATGGAAACGGCGCGCACGCTAATATTCAGAAAGGTGGACCTGGATACAGCAACGTCACCCTAAAGTTTAAGAGTCAGAGAGGTCATGGCATTAACTTCGTCGTTCAGGTTTATTCACGGCCTTAATTGTCCAGTGGAAGCAGCTACTCTTACAACTGATATAACGATTCCTGGATGCAATTCAGATGGAGAAGTAAAATAATCAATCTTGAAAGTTACATCAAATCAGTATGTCTTGAATTATTTATTATTAGGACAAATTGCTGTTGCTACCAAAAGAAAATGTGTCACTGAACATTTTTTTTATTCACTTTGATGTCTCGTATATATTGCCAATAAATCAATTGATGTAATTGAACATGTTTTTCTTAAAAATTCTTAAATACGTGTACTTATAAGCTCGCAATCGTAGAACATAAGTATAAGCTATTTAATAACGCACTCAATGAACAACAAACTGATAGCACTTTATAAGATACAGAACTTGTCGTTTATGTTTTTCTATTTACGAATCAAATAAATTCGCCTTTATTACGCATTTAATCACATCTTCTCATTACATCTTATAATTTCCAACTATTATTACCATTGCTATCGCTAATTAAATAATAATTTGTTAATTATTTTGCTAATTATATTCTCGTCTTCTTCTACGGTACTCGAATTGTGCGATATGAAATAAGAGAATAAGCGTGAACGTTAAGGAAGGAATCTGGAAGAAGTGTCGATAGTAATGCAATTAGCGCCGAAGCGAAACGCGACAGCGATTCGGAGTAAAAACGGACCGCGAAGAATCCACTCGTGGAATGTCTTTCTTGTATGCGCTAATCAAGCGCCGGGCCGCTTCCCTCTTTAAGATTCTCGATAATTCGCTCTTTTTTTTATTTCCGCTTCTTCGGAGCTCTCGAGGCGCGGAATTCTCGCAGGCTGGAGTTCGGGGAGGTCGTCTTCGAGAAGCCGGGGTACAAGGAAACGGAGAGGAACATCTTCTATTTCCGAGGCTTACGTACAAAGTACGTTTTGCGCATGCATGCATGGCGGCACGGAGGAGGAACAACCGACTGGAAAATTGTTGTCGCTTCGCGGTGCATTCTAGCACGGGGTGTCCCGCCGGCTAGGAGGAACTTGGAATCGAGTTGAGGACCACTGGAAATTGGTGGCGGTATCTCAAGCTTGCGAACGACCATTTCGTTAACCTACTTATTCTACCTCCCCATTCCAGTCGCGTTACTCGTGAAGCCACGCCGAAGTACCTAGTTCGTCCGCAGTTTCCGCATCTGAAAACTACGCGCGCAAGGGAGAGGCGTAATTCGCGGTTCTACATGGTGGCTCTTCATTGATTACGTTTTAATGGATCTCATCGGGGAGGGCCGATCGGCGCGGTGCGATTCGCGGGCTCTCGACAATCCTCTGTTTCCGATGTGTAAGCGAAGTAATCGGCTACTTCGAATACTCGAGCGTATGGAGCATCCCGCCGGTGCCCGAGTACCGTCACACTGTCCCAGTTCTGTCACGAACGAAGACAGGATGCGAAAGGGATTATATTTGTCAACTAGACAGAAACATATGCAATTTTTATATCTGAAAATTGAGCTCGCAAAACGAGATTATTAGTGTAACGCTCAAACAATTTTAGTTATGAAAAAAAAATTATTTTCACATACAAGTATCTTTTTAAAAGAATCATTTATTTATATTCATCGTAATTACTTAAAAAATTACTAATTGAATTCGGCAAATCGCACTTTTCAAGTCAAGTTTAAATGTCTTGATTGAACAGGTAGATGAAGCAGGTGATGTCACAAGTGCAAACAGTAGCCAGGTGCTTAGTGATTGCGATGTTATATAAACAATGATAAGCGCGTGTTCAAACACACACTCTGTGCGTGTGCCGCACACGTGTGTAAGCAGGATGTGATATGCATCAGAGCGGTTGTAATTTTCTCTGCGCTATACCTGACATCTAACCGCGTAAAATAATAACAGACCTGCTTCTTTAACACAGATTAAAGAAAAGCACGGTTTAATGCAATCGCGCTCGTACATGATATCGTGCCATACTTATCATTCATGTCAAGACTGACACTTTTATTTATGGAACAAAGTCCGCGAAACTAGCTAGCTGTGCTTTAGAAAGAAAGGCCGAGACACTCTCAACTTTTTCTAGTGCCTAGTCAGATTCTAAATACGATACGTAGAACCGCATTAACGATAGCACCGCGACTATTCTGATGAAGAAACGAGGTCTAAGGTGCTATATCCGAGCGCTCGAGGGTATAAAATCGGATTGTCCTGGGAATCGCGACACGTGCGGCAGTGCATAAGAAAGATAGTATTATTTCCGTTGTAATAACATAAAAATAGGACTGCACTTATAAACGAGCGCTATATTTGTCCTTTGACGTACATACGAAGTACGCACCTGTCGAACGACGACTCTAGACTCCAAGTGTATCGTTGCATTTCTTTCTGACGCGACGTCGATCGCGACTGACTCATCGCCATTTCGATATTTCGATATATGTGTAAGCGAGCGAAGAATGTGTGTTGTTTCTCGTCTTTTTTTTTATGGAATTAAAATTTTAAAAGTTTTGAGGCACAAACTACGTTGCAAAATTCGATTTAGATGAGCGTCGAAATGGTCCGAGGCCCTATCTGGCGTTTTATTGAAAAATATAGAATATGGATTTTCTCTTTTGTTTATTCTCGACTAAAATTTTACACGAAAATCCGGAAGAATGCAGACCACTGTGGTGAACCATGTTCGACCCAAGCCAGGTCGTATATCCGAATGTATCTCTAAAAGTCACACGAACCATGTGGTTCCCCCCCCCTCTCTTTCTCTCTATCCTTTTCTTTCTTCCTTGCCGTGGAATTATGTTTTATTTTCCTGTCTGCGCGTAGACCATGATAAGGAGAGCTCGTGCCTCGTAAAACACGTATGCATAAAAAGCCCTGACCGCACCTGGCAGCCGTAATGCAAGGGCGTAAGGACCACGGCGAGCAAGCCATAAACCTGTCGCGCTCGCGTTCGGTTATTGCTTATAAAGTTGCGAGACTGACGAGCACGGACGTGCGCGAAAACCGGGGTTGGATGGACAACCCGATGACAGGGATCGGGCGTGAACGAATGAAAGCGTGTTTGCATGAGCATAGGTACAAAAGAGCCGGCCGTCAATCCGAAACCGCAGCGGCCATTATCGGGCAATTTTAAACGGAACGCCGTAGTTACGACTCGCGAGCGCGCGCTTCAGATTCTGTGCAGTCGTCAAACAACGCAACAACATCCCGCACCGTTTGGCGACGGCACTTGGGATCCGCGCAAACTGAGTGTCGGTACACAGGCGACAACAAAGGGACGTGGCAAAAACGCGTTTCCGAAAAGTGTACTCCCGCGAGAGTCCACGGTTACTGAAAAGAAGAAGAAAAAAAAAGAGTAGAATCACAATGTAAAGTGCTGCCAATAATCTTTGTCGCGTACCCGCAATCTTCCGCTTGCCAGATCTTTCTGCTAATGAAATCTCCGTAAGTTTTCTTTGTTTTTGGTACATGAGAAATATTTATTCATGTTTCTTCCCGTTCGTAATAGGATCCCGCACATTATAGTAATAGAATCTTGCATTTTAAAACTGTGAGCGATGGATTTCAGTAAAGGGGAGAGAAGGAATGTCATAAGTCGGCGGCATATGCTTCCTGAGGCAATGCATGTGTAATGCAAGTCAGTCGAATCGCAGGCATTACGCAGCAACTCTCGAACGAAATGCTTCTAATGGATTGACCAACTGACTTGCGTTTTTCGTTTGAAACCTCCTGCGAGTCATTTGAAATCCCATGTAAAAGCTGATGAGTTTAAAGCGCTGTGCGTGTCAGAGTTAAATGCATTCCGCTGACAAGCCATACGCTCATACGTGAAACGCATTGTTGTGCGGCATACAACTTGAATTATTATAAATTCCTGTTACGAGTATCGCAATTATTATTTTCATTGTAAAATTTTTTAAACGCGACGTGCGTCCTCGTACTTTTGTTATTATTGCGTTACGGAGCTTAAGTACGACACGCTACGAGCATTTCAAGCGTGTTTCATCGATGCGAGTCTGATAATTTGCGATAGTTACGTCGAGGGGAATTAAATGTGAGTGCGGAAGCGGCGGCACAAGAAACGAGCAATTATGGTCAAGATCTTAGATAATTATATTGGAATTACCCGTCTTGCAAACGTTCAGGTTGCCATTCTACCGGCTCCGGGTCCTTTGATATCAAAGCTGCTGATTGGCCACAAATGCAAGATCAGAGTCTGAACGTCGGCGAGGTCGGCATGTGGATCAACCGTGGGTGTCCTGTGCGGTCAGCTCGTTAACCGGTATGAACTACGCATCGACTGAGTAATCTCCGTTTGCTTATATAGGAAGCGCGATCGACTAATACTCTTTGACGACAGATTCCTCAGCGTCTAATCGCATCTGGCATTTCTCCATGCAAATTGCCAATTCCGCGAGGGAATTAATTTCACCCCTTCTTTTTCTTTACAAGGACAATATATCAATCAATCGCGGAGACGTAAAATCGATACCGAATGTATCTGTTCCGGCAGATTTGAAGGAGCAAACGAAATCGCTTCTTACGTTTCTGAACACAAACACGTGTCCACACGTATGATTAAATAGCTGCGAGAATCCCGGTTTAATTCGTAACAACGCGGCTGGGTAATTCGCTCGGTACTATTTGCCGAGTAATCGCTTAAGATGTCACTAAGTACAGCGATTTTTCTTACATTCGTACTCGCGGCTGGAGATACGTCCGTAGCAGATAAGCGGAAAGATACCGGAAAGAAGAATTAAAAGAAGATCAGCGTTCCGAGAGTACGCGAATTTTTCAACATCAAACATTCAGAAGGAGCGGGAGACGGGAAACTGGGGCAACCAGTTTAAAAGCCCAGGGTACTTTAACACCCGGGAGTACTACTCACGGTCTCGTCTCTGAAAAATCTTTTTATTCTAGCCGTACATTTGTATGTACTCATACATATGTACGGACGCGGCGCAGCAGTACAGTCGCATTTTATTGAGCGAATTTCATTCTCGTTTATAGTTACGACCATCGCGCGAGATAGAAGGGAGAAGTATATCGTAGCCATAGAAATCTATAGAGCGCGTATAATTTACTATCTTCGACCGTAGAAGCTAAAGTAGACGTCGGGAGATAGAGATCAATCTACAAATCCCACGTACTTGCCATATCTTTCACCTTAACTTGGGCCGGTCTACCAGGCGGGGGAATGCATAAATAAAGTCGTCATTTACGTCAAATTGTTCTTCGTTTCTCTGACTTGTTATTTTCTCTTTCGGTCGAATTACGTTTATGACATCCTTCCTGTAGGACACTCGGCGAATTACGAGACACGGCCAATTGAAATAGGGATAACAAGGTAGGATTACAAATTAATACTACTTGTAATACAATTAATATCGTATTACATTTTAACAAGAATTTCGAACTCGCGTTTTAAGACGGTTTTAGAATAAAAGGGCTCGTATCTTGTA